ATGGAAACAATTTACCTATCACAGCAATTGGTGATATTTCTTCATCTCTTACCAATGTTTATGTTTCCCCTGATCTCACCAGTAACATTATTTCAGTTGGTCAATTAGTTGACAGTGATTGCAAAGTTGAATTCTCAAAGTCTGGTTGTCATGTGCAGGATCAACACTCAGGGAAGGTGATCGCGAAGGGGCCTAAAGTTGGACGTCTTTTTCCTCTTTATTCATTGTTGTCACCATGTTCTTTTCAGCCTTTTATTTCTTGTAATTCTGCAACTGTTAATTTTCAATTATGGCATAAGCGTCTTGGTCACCCAAATTCGAATGTACTTCATGCCTTAATGAAATCTGGAGTTCTTGGCAATAAACATTTCCCATCTTTTAGTGCTGTTCAATTTGATTGCAATTCTTGTAAACTTGGTAAAAGTAAAATTCTACCATTTCCAGTTCATCAATCAAATGTAAATCAGCCTTTTGACATAATTCACAGTGATTTATGGGGCATCACACCTGTAATATCTCATGCACATTACAAATATTTTATCACTTTTATTGATGACTATAGTCGTTTCACATGGGTCTATTTTTTGCGATCTAAAGCTGAAGCTTTCTCTGCATTCCAATTTTTTCATTCCTATGTTCAAACTCAGTTTGCATCAAAAATTAAAACTCTGCGTTCTGACAATGGGGGGGAATACACATCTCATTTGTTTCAAGAGTTCTTGCAGAAAAATCGTATATTATCTCAAAGGTCGTGTCCTTCCACACCCCAACAAAATGGGATAGCTGAAAGAAAAAACCGTCATCTTCTTGATGTTGTCCGTACCTTAATGTTGGACTCTTTAGTACCCTCCCATTTTTGGTGTGAAGCTCTCTCAACTGCTGTCCACCTTATTAATCGGCTGCCTTCTCCAGTCTTGCACAATGATTCCCTTTCTTAAGGTTATTTGGTAAGCAACCCAATTATTCAACTCTTTGCACCTTTGGTTGTGTCTGTTATGTTCATCTTCAGCCACCAGAACGCACCAAACTCACAGCTCAATCTGTTAAATGTGCTTTTCTTGGTTACTCAGCCCATCAAAAAGGTTTTTTATGCTATGATCCTCACTTACATAGGATTCGGGTTTCTAGAAATGTCATCTTTCAAGAAGATACATATTTTTTTGCTACTAACCAAGACACTCAATCTTCTACATCCAAATCTGTCTTGCCATTGTTTCCTAACAGTTTTGCAGAAGACCAAGCTCGTCCTCCTGTCATTGTCTACCAAAGACGTCCGACTGTTCCACCAATTCAGACTTCAATCCCTTCAAGGCCCCCTTCTGATCATTCTCTGGCTGCTGATCCAGTGCATGCACTAGAACCTGCCCCTTTACGTCGCAGTACTCGCATTCGTAAACCACCAGAAAAGTATGGTGTTTCTGAATCTTTATCTTTGACAGCAACTTTAACATCTATTCCTATTCCTTCTTCATATAAACACGCAATGGAGCATAAATGTTGGCAGGATGCTATAGAGACTGAACTTCTTGCACTAGAGGAAAATCAAACATGGGACATTGTTCCATGTCCTTCATCGGTTAAACCTCTTGGCAGTAAATTTGTATTCACTATAAAGTTGCGTTCAGATGGATCCATCGATCGATACAAGGCTAGATTGGTTGTTCTTGGAAATAAGCAAGAATATGGCCTAGACTATGAAGAGACCTTTGCGCCGGTGGCCAAGATGACTACTGTGCGGACTATTATTGCCATTGCTGCATCTGAATCTTGGCCAATTCACCAGCTAGATGTCAAAAATGCCTTCCTTCATGGTGACCTCAAAGAAGAAGTTTACATCAAACTTCCTACGGGTATGCCCTCACTATTACCTAATACTGTTTGTAAGCTAAAACGTTCTTTGTATGGATTAAAACAGGCACCAAGAGTGTGGTTTGAAAAGTGTAGCACAACATTACTTGGTTTTTCCTTCATCCAAAGTAGCTATGATCCATCTCTTTTTCTACAAAGGACCTCCAAAGGAATTGTGATTCTCCTTGTTTATGTGGATGACATTATCGTCACCGGCTCAGATCAATAGACTATCACTACAATCAAACAATTGATGCATACAACTTTCCACATGAAAGATCTTGGACAGCTCACTTATTTCTTGGGATTAGAAGTACAATTCCAACAAAAAGGCATCTTTGTCACTCAGCACAAATATACTCTGGATCTAATTTAGCTAGCTGGTCTCACCACTGCAACTATGGTTGACATTCCCATGGAAGTTAATGTAAAGTTAAGACGGGATGAAGGTGACCTTCTATAAGACCCAACTTTATATCGAAAGTTGGTAGGAAGTCTCATCTACCTCACCATCACAAGACCTGATATCTCTTTTGCTGTCCACACAGTCATCAAATTCATGCAAAATCCTAGACACTTGCATCTTACAGCAGTACAACGAATCATTAAATATTTGTTGGCCACTCCCAGCCGTGGTATCTTCTTTCCGACAAATGCAACAATACAACTTCAAGCATACAGCGATGCTGATTGGGCTGGATGTCCCGACACAAGGAAGTCTACTACTGGCTGGTGTATGTTTTTAGGAGATGCCCCTATCTCCTGGAAATGCAAGAAACAAGAATCTGTCTCTAAATCCTCCACTGAAGCAGAATATCGGTCTATGTCTGCAGCATGCTCTGAGATTATTTGGTTACGGGGCCTTCTTTCAGAACTTGGTTATTCACAAGCAACACCAACTCCGTTGTATGCTGATAATACAAGTGCCATACAGATTGCAGCAAATCCTGTATACCATGAAAGAACAAAGCACATAGAGGTCGATTGTCATTCAATCAGGGAAGCTTATGGCCGTAGAATTATCACTCTACCTCATGTCTCAACATCTGTTCAACTAGCTGACATCCTCACCAAGTCTTTGACACGTCAACGACATAATTTCCTCGTCAGCAAATTGATGCTTGTAGATTCACCAGCATCAATTTGAGGGGGGATGTCAATAGAATTGATGAGCAGAATATTTGGCATTATTTGTGCAGATTTGTAATTATATCCTTAATTAATTAGCCAGCTGTAGGTTATGATTTGTAATTATATCCTTAATTAATTAGCCAGCTGTAGGTTATGATTGTGTAATTATATCCTTAATTAATTAGCTAGCTGTAGGTTATGATTGTATAGTTATGATTGTGTAATTATATCATACTATTTAAATGAGAATTCTCCAAAGGAGAACATAAGGTTTTATCCCAATTTCTCTAAGTTTAACACCTTCAAACACAAGAAATCTAAGCAATACTTGCTTTATGTTTAAAGCACCAACAAAATAGCTTTGCTAATATGAGCACCTATTTCCAAGGTGAAAATACAATCACTTGCACATATATACAAACATAGCAAACTAGGCAATTTCCATTCCTAAGTCACAAGGTTAGAAATTTACCTAAATCTTGATTCATTTAAGATTCCAAATCAAGATCCATTGATTCACCCAATGCTTGGTCTTTCACCAATAACTCCCTTGATTCAACCCTATAAATCAAATGAATACAATCACCATCAATATCCCAACGCACTTTACTTGTAATACAAGAAACCTATAGTTGTTCATAGGCAAAATTCCAAAGTGTGCCAAATGATGTTTTAATTATTTTTTCACCGTTTATTTCATCTCCTAAACACTTCTTCCAACATAACCGATGTCAAATAACATACTCAAAATCCCACAACATACAACATTTTTCCAAAGAACCTTGGTTACTCAATCATCATGAAACTTCCAATAAAGTTAGGATTTCATACCACCAAAGTCTCCAAGCTCTAATGTAACCAAACACCTCTCCTAGCTTCAAGACACCAAAAATGGCGCCACCTTCCAAGAGAGTTTTCTCTCAACTCCAAGCTTTTCTAAGGGATTTGTGTGGAAGGTTTTGAGCACCAAGTGATTCTAAACATCTTTCATGCCTAAGCTTTTATGATTTAGTGGCTAAATCAAAGTTGATGTTTTAAGCTCTATCAATGGCTTCCTCTCGGTTTTAGGGAGAAAAATCAAAGAGAAGATGAGATAATGAAGGCTTAAGTGTGTTTAACTCTTTTAATGAAAGTTTGACTTTAGTCAATTGTCCCAAAATATCTAACTTTGCATATTACACATTTAACCCTCATGTTAAATCCTTTATGATTCATAACTTATCCAATTTTACATTATTCTACCATCCACCAAAATGATTTAATAGTTTCACACTACATTATTTTCAAATTTCGGAAATTTTAACTATTTGCACTTTTGCCCAATAGTGACTTTATTTTATTTAATTAGTTATCTTTCTAATTAATCTATAGTAATTATGATTAAATTCTTAATTAACTTACAAATTCACAATTCATAAGTTAGGGTTATTATATATATGTTGTGAACTTAAGTTATAAAATATTGGAGTCTTTTCCGTTAAACCTTCATTAGAAAATATATGTGAATTTGGTTCCATGGGCATGGCTTAAATTGTGTTTGAGGCCTTTATTATTGTTCTTCTTTTGATAGAAAGTGCATGAGAGCATGTTAATATTTGTTTAACACATAAGCCATTGGGACAATTTCTCCAGCTTAGAATGTTTGGTCAAGCAATTCGAATCGCGGTGCTAGCTTTAGATTATTTGTTCAGTTTTCTCCCCACCTTTTACCTGTCCTGCTTTATGTTGTGTCTTTGTGTCTTATGAATTGGGCATACGTTTTGAATATATTAATCCTGCTGTCATGTATTTTTCGATATGATTTTGCGACAATGTGAAAGTTATTTGTTATGCATACATGAATAAAGACACTTACACATACACTTAACACATAAGATGATCCAAAAAATATAGCATATTGATTTGATTCGTGTCATGAATGAAGTGTTTACCAAGTTCAGATCATGAAATTTTATAACTGTCTTCTTTACGGTTGTGTTATATTATCTTACTTTATACTTTTAAATTCTTTTCTGGAGCAGATATGGTTAAAAATAAGGGCTTTCTTCCATCGGGACCTTCTGAGATACCTATTCAGCGAAATCAAATGAAGGATATTATTAATTCTCTCCTTCCAGCTTGTAAAGAACCTGATATTGATTCCGGTGTCCCCTTTAAAGCAGATGCAATCATTGCCAATCCCCCAGCATATGGTATAGTTCATTATCAGTTGCAATTTGATGAAATGGTTGATTTTGTGAATTTATGGTACTGGGACCACCATATTCAAGCATTATGGCTACTTGACACACACGTGACATATTTTTGAGCTAAAATGTTATCGTTTATTTTACAAAGTATCAACGAATTGAAGGGGAGAAGTATTGGGAGATACTAGAGCCTCTCAAATGTTCTAGACTATATTTTCTTTTCCATTTTATTTTCTGTAATACATACATCATCCCGACAATCAATTGATATCAGAGTTATAGTGAATATATACCCGATTTTATCTTCTTTGTGTTTCTGTTCTTGCTCTGTTCCTTACAGAATATCATAACAGATTGCGTAAATATGTTTAAGAGTATCATAGATGATTATGGTAAGATATTATGTATTTACTATAGAATCAATGAGGATTATGTATATATGGAAAGTAAGTAATTGTAAATAATACCCTCACCAATATATATTGAGTGTGTGTGGTCTGTTTTGGACATGGAGAATTCACTCAATCAGATGTTCATGTTTAGTTAATCCTTTCTACCTTTCTGATCAGATTAGCATATCCTACTGTTTGATTCATATCTTTGTTATACTTTTCGACTGACATTGTAATATAAATCTTTAGGGCATACCCATGTGGCAGAGGCACTTAAAATTCCAATTCATATTTTTTTCACAATGCCATGGACGTAAGTTTCATCTTGGTAATCTTAATCTTAGCATATTTTTCTAAGTTATATTCTCGTTTACTATTTTTTCATTTTAGTTCTTTAACAATTGTTTGTGTTTTAGTCTTCCTAGAGATTGAAATCTGCATTTTATGTACTTTGCCTTTTCCCCCAGGCCAACCAGTGAATTTCCACATCCTTTGTCCCGTGTAAAGCAACAGGCTGGATATAGGGTGAGTTCTCTGATTCATGCTGGTCCATCTTCCCTCCTAAATTTGTTGCCTCCGTGATTAACTAATTATTGGTCATTTATAACTCTCCTCAGCTTTCATATCAAATAGTTGACTCATTGATATGGCTGGGAATAAGAGACATGATTAATGATCTTAGGAAGAAAAAGTTGAAGCTACGACCGGTCACATATTTAAGTGGCTCACAAGGTTCTGATACTGATGTTCCACATGCATATATATGGAGTCCTCATCTTGTTCCTAAACCAAAAGGTGCTTTCTTTAGATCCCAATCTTAAGATTTTGTATTTATAGTCACTGTTACATTTGGCTCACTTGTGTTGTTCTCATAATATATCGGAGTACTTTACCTTGATTTTTATATTCTGTGCTTTGTCCTCATGTGCTTGCCCTTTTTAGTAAGAACTAATAACTCTTGTCTATACTCGTTATTTTTCATTGATCTCTGTGGATAATGAAAATAATAATAAATTATTTCATTCATCAAATAAAATCTTGGGGGAAAAATCTTATCAGTTCTGGAACAGCTCTCCTCCTTTTCCTTTTAGAGAAGAAAGGTTCTAAACTTTCTTGACTCATGGTAGTTTAATCAATGTGTAATTGTTATTGGTCTGGATACAAGCTTATGTTCTCTTTTCACAATTTCTTTTTGGATTGTTAAGGGTGTGCATGACAATCTTCCCGGAATTAATTTTTTTTTTTCATTTCTGTTCCCGAGAACAGAAATGGATAGAAAACTCGTTTGGTAAAACTGGTTTATTTTTTTGTTCCCGGGATGAACCGATTTAATTTTTGTGTTGGGGAACAGAAAAAAGAACAAAATTATTTTTGCTTTTTTGTTCCCGGGCACAAAATGAGAAACACTTGTCTCTCTCCATCACTTTCCACCACTACCATCATCATCACCACGACCACCATCATCCCGACACGACCATCACCACCATCATCGCCGTACCACCAGTGCCGTCGTCACCACCACCACCACGATGCCACACCACAATCACCACCATCATCTCGACACGACTACCGCCACCATCGTTGTCGCCGTACCACCAGTGCCGTCGTCACCACAATGACGATGTCACGACCTCCATCCACTGCCATCACCACCACCATTACCATCACCGTCACCACCACAACCATTACCATCACCGTCACCAGCACCATCATTATCGCAATCACTGTTGTCACCATCACCACGCCATTGCCATCGCCACGCCACCACCATCGTCGCTGCTACCGACGTCACCACCGCCACGCCACCACCGCCACCAACCACCAACACCGTCGCAACCACCGCCACCATTGCCACCACTACCACCGCCGCCACCGCCACCATCATTGTCACTATTACCACCACCATCGTTGCAGCCACTGTCGTCACCACCGCCGCCGCCGCCACCACCACCACCACACCATACCATATGAAAAGGAAAGTGATGATCCGAAATTTTTTTATGCTTAACAGGAATTATTTTTTATTGTATTATTTGTTGTGTTATCAGACGCAATTTTCATTCTCGGAATAAAAATAGAACATATTATCAAACACATTTTTTTCTCAAAAACTATTCCAAGGCACATAAATAGAAAAGAACAGTGTCAGGGAACAGAATGGTTGTCATGCACACCCTAACTATGACAGAATTGGATCAATGCGTAATTACTATTGAAAGAAAAATGAGAAATACAACTTAGATTGATTCAAAAACAAATTGCCGAAATGAAAATACAGGGACACTTCTAATTACAAAAGAAATGACTCTAAAAAACGAAACTATAATTCAGTACATTCGAAAGGTACTGATTTCTTCCAACCCAAGATTCCCAAAGTCCAAAGCCCTTACCATTCTTTGCCTTCTTCTATTTCTACTATCGTTTCTTTTCCTCTAACAGAATTATCCTTCCACCCATTGCAAAATATTATCCCTCTAACTAACTTGGTGACTTAGCATGAGTTCCTTGAGTGGTTCTGGTCCAATGTCAGGATAACGGCTCTTGTCAGGTGCCCTCGATAAGGACTTTGATCTAGAACCAAAATACCAAATAATTGGAAGAGGAAACACGATATATTGTATTAATGTGATTGAATTCTCAAAACCCAGCCAAAATTACTGAATAGATTAAGGGAAAACTCTCATTACATTGATAAAAGAGGAAGTAAAAACAAGGAATGAAAAGCAAAATACAAGAAACTCCTAGAAGAATAAAGTGCTCCTCGTCTCTCCCAAATTGCCTAAATCCAGTCCCAAGGTGTCTTTCTTGCTCTACAGACCCTCCTCATATACCAAGTACCATATGCTCTCCCCTAAACGTTTCCTTGAACAGAATTGTCCTCATTAACTGAATCTGCCATTAAGTGTGATTCCCTACATCTCTTCATATGGTACACCTGCATCTTAGGAGGAGTTGGATCAATATTCCCTCCCAATATAAGCACCTTGTCCCTGTGGTGGAAGGAGGGGAATTGCTAATCTAGCATGTAAGAGTCTTCCCATGAGTTTTCAAAAGGGGTAGATTCTTCCACTTGATCAAGACCTCAACTGAACCAATCACTGGCTTTCTCCACTTGCAACATCTTCAGGTTCCACTCTCAGCTCAAGGTCTTCCGTTAGCATTGGCGATAAAGGTTGAACAAAATCTTTGGCAAAAATAAAAATACATGGACCCTAAAAGTTAAAAAAGAAATTATTATGAAAGAATAAACTGAAGTTCAATACATTCGAGAGGTATTGATCTCTCCCAACCCAAATTCCCAAATTTCAGCCTCCTCATTCTTTGCCTTATTCTATTTATACAATCATTTCCTTGCCTTTAACAGGATTTCCTTTCCACTCATTGCAGAATATTCTTCTTCTAATTGCCTTGGTGACTAACATGAATGTCCTAAGTGGCTGATTCTCTGCATCTGTTCCTAGAATGCACCTTAAGAGGTGGTTTCCTATCAATACTCCCCCCCCCCCCCCCCTCCAAAAAAAAAAAAAAAATTCACTTCGTCCTCAAGGTGAATGTCAATTCTCGGACACCATCCTTTAGGATCCCATTGCTTGTGGTGTCGGGGTCCATTTATGCAAAAACCAAAAAGCATAATAACTACAAAATAAAATAAAAAATAATAACTTCCCCTGAAATCCCAATTTTCTTCTTCTACTTCCACTGGTTGAAGATTATAATTTTGCAACATTGAGATTGTCTAAGTAGAAGCCTATATGCATGTCTCATAAAGCCAAGCATCTTGATTTTCACCATCACTCTCTTCTTCATTGACCTGTACTGTGAACTACTCCTAGAAGGATTCGTAGCATGTTGAACGTAATCAAACATTGGAAACATGGCAAACTTATATTCTGTTTCCCATAAGGGTAGTGAAAAGAGATGGCCATGGTTGTGTAAGGTTTCAAATTGAACTTAACATGTTTTTCCTGTTCACGGGTCTTGGGTCAAAACTAAGCTCAAATATACCTCATCATCCACCGTTGTAGTGACTCCCATGAACATATTCCAACATGATTAGGCATTGTTGACATGGGATAAAACCATTTGGGCAAGACCTCTGATAATTAGTTCTCTTTTTACTACTGCAGTACTCTTTCTCACAACAATGACAAAAAACTTCATCAATTCAATTTGAAAATTATAATTAACCAACTCTTCTCACTCCAGCAATTTCGTTGACGACTTATGCCAAGGGATGAAATTGTGTCAGAGAAACAGGATATCCTTCGGAGGAGTAGCATTTAGAGATGAAAAGCCATAATCATCATAATATGAAACGGGATTTAAATGCGAATAATGGTAATAGTTGGCATGAGATTGGGTTGCTGCTACTGATCACCTTGCTTTGGTCTTTAAGTTCACTTGATGGAAGGCATATAGCATTTGGTGAAAACAAAACTATATGAATTTATTCTCCAACACAAACTTGAGTATCTCTAAACATTCACCACATTTCAGCTGATGACATTTTCTTTCAAGAAGGAGAAATTCCTCAGGCAGCTGCAACAACTTAACCATTTATGACAAGTGAAAATAGTAACGATACCAGCTACTGGTTTGCAATGTTGCAGGTTTTGTTTCTCCCTCAAATATTTCCTTGTTGGGGAGGCATATGCCTCTGATCATCAGCTTTTGTTTTACGGTGATTGGGATTAGGTTTTCTTGGTCAATTTAGTTTGGGACTAATTGTGAATTTCCATGTCCGTTCTTCATACATAACATAATTAATATTAGGTAGAGCTTGGAACTTTTTGCCCTGATTCAGCACTAACCCAATTTCTCTAATCCTAACCTATAATGTTCCTCTCCCCTTTTCTAAGATTTTCACGGCAGTTGTTGCCTCTCATAGTTGCACTGCAATTTGTCTTCCTTTTTCTCGATCAACTTCAAGTCTGGTGGCTTGGATAATGGAGGTGGGTCGACACCCTCTGCTGGCGATGATAACCACACTGGCATTCGTGCAACCTTCAACAACTTTTCTGCCTCCTTCAGTTTTCCCAGAGGTTTCTTTTGTGTATCTGAAACATCTCCTGCCATATGCATTCTTTCCATGACTTTATCCTTTATAGTTTTCCCTTTCTTTCTCGTGAATTCCATCCTTTGGGTTTCTAACTCTTCCTCTACTACCATGAGCTTCCTCTCTTGCAATTCAGATTCTGATTTTGGGGCGTCCTATTCTGCATCATTGTCTACCAAACAAATCTCAAGTAGGTATTTCTATATCAACACCTTAGTAAAGTTCCACCAGCTTGCCTTAGGTTTGTGCCAACTACAACATTTATACCACTTAAGCACAGGTCCTCAAAGCCCCCTTTCAACCTCTATCAACTTCTAATCATTATGGGTTCTCTTTGCCTGAAAATATTGTTCTAGATGAATTAGCCATCCCCAAACGTCATCTGTGTCTCCATAAAATTTTGGAATCAACATTTTTTTAACTAATACCATAACGTCTAGATCTGAGCTCTGATATCAATTGATAGAACTGGATCAGATTTAATCAAAGAAAATAACTCGGGGACTTTTTGCCGAAAAGAGATGTGGATTTTCCGTATTACTATTGAAAGGAAAATGGAAAATACAACTCAGATTGATTCAAAGACAAATTGCAGATGTGAAAATACATGGATACTTCTAATTACAAAAGAAATGACTTTGAAAGAAGAAACAATAATTCAGTACATTCAAGAGGTATCAATCTCTCCCAATCCAAGATTCCTAACTTCCAGCCTCCTCCCCATTCATTGCCTTCTATTTATTCTAACATTTTATTGCCTCTAACAGAATTTCCCTTCTACCCATTGCACAATATTCTCCCTCTAACTGTCTTGGTGATTCAACATGAGTGTCTTGAGCGGCTGATTTTCTACTTTTCTTTCTAGAATGCACCTTAATAGGTGGTATCCTATCAAATTGTTGTAGATAATGCTATGCCGAGTGCTTAAATTAACCACCTATGCTATCTTATCTTATGTTTCATATAACCCTTTTTTCGTCCTTCTTCCCTATATTTATTTTTTATTTAATTGTTCTATTTACTTTTCTCTTTAATTTACTTTTTATTTATTTATTGTTGTCACTTATTTTTTTTTTTTATTTACTATTATTATTATTATTATTTTTCTTCTTTTTCCTAATTCTTTTTTGCTTTTTATTTGGGTTTATTATCGACCACCTATGTCAACTAATTTGGGATAAAAGTGTTATTGATGTTGGAATGTTGATATTTGCAGATTGGGGACCAAAAATTGATGTAGTAGGGTTTTGCTTTCTTGATCTTGCATCAAACTATGAACCTCCAGAATCCCTTGTAAAATGGCTCAAAGATGGTGACAAGCCTATTTACATTGGATTTGGTAGCCTTGTGAGTGTATTTATTTCCTTTATTCGATTGTTATTGATATGTGATTTTTGTGCGCTAAAGCTTGCTGTAGTAACTTTGCTTTGACTCTTTGGCCTGGCAATTTTACACTGCACAACTAAATAATTATTGATGACGTGGTAATTGCATGAAGGATATTTTATGTATTCTCAAACTTTCATCTTTCGTGGCTTAGATCAAGGTTCTATAAGATTTATCTTTCCCCTATGCAATATCTGAAAAACCTTTTATTGATAATGTAAATTAGAATCAAGTGATTGGTTAGTTCATATCTATGTTGACCTCTTAATGACAATGTAAATGAGAATCAAATGATTGGTTAGTTTGTATCTATGGTTATAGCTGTTTCATATAGAACTACTATGAGCACGGATGTCAAGATCAATCTTACCTAAGATGAGAAGGGGGTGACAGGATTGTAAGTTGTGATATTGACACAGATTGTAAGATCTTACATTCTTAATTTTAATTATAAAAAATAATATTTATATCTATAAAATAACATTTAATCACAACTTCAATCATAAAAGATAGCAAATATAAAAGGAAAAATAAAGATAACTAGAAAAATTCAAACAAAACAAAAATGGACATTAACTTTTCAACGTCAAGGACCAAAAGAGTGAAAAACAATTATGACCATATAATTGAAAGCATAAAGCAACTTTAGTGGAATAACAAATCTAACAAAAATGTAAATGCATCAACACAAAAAACCACTCCCCGTTAAACCCGACTAGCGAGTGTGGGGTGGAGGAAATCCTTGTACGCAGCCTTACCCTTGCATCAACACACCAACAATAAAAATAAAATAAAATTTACTAAGGGGAAGTTTGATGCCTTGTACATATTGGATATCCATATTACTTGGTTCCACTTTATTGTCCAATACTAACCGGTCGTAAAAATGTAGTGGTTGATGCCTTATAACGACAGATGCAATATTCTTCAATTTCTATGTTCCTGTTGCCTTTATTGATGGAGATTCAAGAGAAACAACAAACTAATTCACAGGTGAAAAGTGTAATTCAGGACCTGTTAATAGACCCAGCCAAACACCATGGGTTCCACTTGCAAGGGGGAAGTTACGAGAGGGATATGTGATATCAAAAGAGCTGCTGCAGCAGTTACTTATGGCACAGAACAGGATGATCTGTAAAGAATCTTGGGATACACCACCCCAAAAGCTAGCTCTAAGGATGGGAGTGCCCAAGACCTTATAAACTCCACATTAGTTGCACATACAACCAATGTGGGACTATATATCTCAACACGCCCCTCACACGAGAGCCCATTGGGCTTGAAGAGTGGACAATGCAACAGGCCCAGCCTACCTGTGCTAAGAAACTCCACAAGAAAAAGTGGGGGACGGCGAGGCTCTGATACTATGTAAAGAACCTTGGGATACACCACTCCAAAAGCTAGCTCTAAGGGTGGGAGTGCCCAAGACCTTATAAACTCCATATTAGTTGCACATACAACCAATGTGGGACTATATATCTCAACATGATCAACACAGAAGGAATATTCATTTTAGTGTCAATGATACAGTGTATTTAAGTATTCAACCTTAGAGATTATGATCTTTAGCTAGGAAGGTTAACAAAAAACTTAGCCCTTGTTTTTATGGTCCATACGAAGTTTTAGAGAAGATTGGAGCATCTACATATGGTTTGGTTCTACCACAGCCGTGCTTAATATATTCAGTCTTCCATATTTCTGTGCATTAAAAGTCCATTGCAGCCTCCAAAAAATGTCCAACCTTTGCCCCCAATGCTGATTGAAGAATTAGAATTGGCAGTGGAGCCAAAAGAGGTCTTGAAGTGGAGGACGACGCTGCAGGTTTTGTTGAAGTCTCAATTAAATGGAGATACCTGTTCACTTTTGTAAATACTTGGGAGGACTTTTAAATCCTAGGGAATATTGATACCAATCAAGTTGAAGGCTATGTTGCACTGACACTTCAAAAAATTTGAATTGTTGTGTCCGACACTCTCCGATACTCCGACACTCCCTGTCACTCTGACACGCTCCGACATTTATAATATTTAAAATTTCGTTACATATTATGAAAATATTGATCGATGTTTACTAAACTGATATAATAAAAATTAAAAATGGATACCGAATAAATTTTACTCGAGTGTATAAGAGATTTTCAATGTTAAAATATAATAGTATGTATTTACATCTTATGTTTCTTTGCAAAATTGATGGGTATTATAAGTTTAGTTTCATTTTTTTGTTAAATTATTGAATATTAAATATAATATACATTACATAAATTAAAAATATTATTTGATATCAAAACGTGTTGAAATCTAATATTTTTTAGAATTAACATGTTGTCATGTCGTGTCCCATGTCGGCGTCGGTGCAATATAGGTTGAAGGTATATGGTAGGAAGTGTTTGAGGGAATCATCCACTTTGGTTACGTAAACAGTTAGGAGAGGATGGTGGCCGGAGTGTGGAGTAGCATTGTTATACTTTAAATCGAGAAACTGTGTGTATTGTGACCACACAGGGATTATATTATATCAATAATTATATGGGCTTGTTTAGTCAAAATATCTGTTTCTGTCAAATACCAGACATGTTTGTAATTCCTTTTGGGTTAATTTTAGTCCTGATATTCAATAACATTTGCTAAGTTCCTTCACAAGACTTGATTATTGTGGTTGGTTGTTACACCCTACAAAAAAAGGTTCAAAGGATTTGGAAAAAGAAAAGAAGTCAAGATTGTGTAGAACTATTTTTCGCTATTGTGTTGCATCTGGTTAGAGAGGAGTGCTTGGATTTTTCAAGATGTCCTGTTGTCTTTGGCAATTTTCTGGGAATTAAAAAGGTTTTTGGCTTCTCTTTGGTGCTCAGCTAATGCTCTTTTTAATGGGATGTGCATAGAAATTGGATTGCCATTTGCATTTTCTTGAGTTTTTTATGGTTCTTTTTAATTTTTTCTTTCAGTAGTTTTCTTGTATTCTTCTATATTTGTGTATCTCGTCTTTCTCATTGAATTTTTTTTCTATAAAATAAATAATATTGTCTATACTACTAGTCTTACTGCTTTCTCTCTCTCTCTCTCTCTCATATTCCTATTACAGCCTGTTCAAGAACCAAAAAAGATGACACAAATAATTGTAGAAGCACTGGAGAAAACTGGACAGAGGGGCATCATCAATAAAGGATGGGGAGGTCTGGGGCATTGTAAGAATATTGCTTATTCTTGCCTTTCTATTGTAGAAGTTTATTAGTTTTATGCTTTTTAACTAAATACGCTTCTTTCCAGTGGCAGAACCAAAGGACTCTATATACTTGTTGGATAATATCCCTCATGATTGGCTATTCTTACATTGCAAGGCCGTGGTGAGATCATCTAGTTCAATACTCTTGGTTTTGCAGTTTGTGTAACATTCACTTTGAAAAATCACTATAAAATTTCATAATTCTATCAAATTTGTAAATTCTGTAAATTGAAGTGGCAGCCTAGTAGGACTGTCATGGCCAGCCAGCTAAAGCTTGCTGGTTAAAATATGGCAAGAGTATTCCGGTACATGGCTCAAACAGCCTTGCAGTTCACTGGACTTTATTATGGGCTAATATCATGCTTCAATGTCATTGGAGAGCGTCATTTGATGCTTTGTTAAGAGGAGAAAACAAGAGACATATGATGAAATTCATGTTTGAATTATACAGCAGGTGTCTTTAGACTAAACCAAAACGGTGACAAATGGGTGAGCTGGGTTCAATTTTTTTATGATACGATCTACCGTATCTGTACGCACATTACCTCTATTATAAGCTCAATATAGGCATGATCTCCCTATGTTACCTAAAGGGAAATACAATTCCATCAGTAGTAGGAGGGCTCAATAAAATGTAGTCAAAAGGGTTGCTATCTTGGAAGAGTTGAAATCAGATTTAAATCATGCTCAGGATGGAATTTGGGCCCAATTTGATAAGTACAGGGGGTGATATGAACCCAAATGATGTGAATCTCTGCTGGTCACCTACACGACACCCACACGAAACTCGTACGAATAAGATCTACCAAGTCAGATCTACCAAATCATATGGGAGTTAACATTTCTATCTTAGACTGAATTTTCTCTCGAACAAAAGGGCAACCAATCTCAATGTATGTGGGAAGTTGAACCAATTGTATCATAGAAAATTGTATCATAAAATATATAGTGGAGCACTAGTAATAATTTGGTATAGTGGATACAACAACCTAGATAGTGGGTCTTGTAAATAGAACCTCAATTAAATTCTGTATGTATAAATAATAACATTCAGCTGAGTGCAATTCACTCAGACACAAAACACATAATAGCTTCTTATTTTCTCACAATAACAGTACTAATATGGGACTGCTCTGACCACCGCCTCTGCAGCCCTTTTAGTTTTTGCACTATCTACTAAACCTTTGATAGATTCTCTCCAGCTTATAAAGCCTATCTACTACATCTCTCCATAACCATTCCTGCCAAAGTATTAGAAGCTTTACCTCGAGAAATGGCGACATGCCATGAATGCCGAAATGGAAGCATTAGAGAATAATATAACATGGGAGCTTGTAACTCCTTTGAAAGGGAAGAAAATTGTTTGCTACAAGTGGGTCTACAATGTGAAGTATAAAGCAAACAGGTCCATTGAAAGGTATAAGGCTAGGTTATTAGTTAAGGTACACCCAAACTTATGGTATTGACTATCAAGAAACATTTGCTCCAGTCTCGAAAATGAATATTATCAAAGTGTTGTTAACACTTACAGCAAGTTATGGATGGGATTTGCAACATTTTGATGTTAAAAATGCCTTCTTACATTGAGATCTGTAGTATAAGTTTATATCATGTGCCACCTGGATACGAGGACAAGTTTCGAAAAAGCAAAGTTTGCAAGTAGAAATTGTACTCTATGAGCTACAACAATCTCCAAAGGCCTGGTTTGTAAGGTTCATAAAAGCAATTTTGGAGAAAGGATATTGTTAGAGCCAAAGAGATCACACCTTGTTTATCAAAGAGTTACGGTCCTATTAGTGTACATTGATGATATATAATTGTGAATGGGATGATAATAAAGAAAGACAAGCCTTGAGCAAACACTCTGCCAAAGAGTTTGATATTAAAACCTTGGGAAAATTGAAGTACTTTCTAGTGAAGTTGCGCACTTCAAACTAGGAATTTTCATTTCTCAGCAAAAGTATAGTATGTTAGAGATATATAAAACCATTAAAGTAACCTCACCCAACAACTTAAGTTTTTGGGTTGAATTGGTTCTTTACATGGTATCAGATTCTCGGTGTCACGGGTTCGATCTTCATCGCCCCTATTTAATTAATAATTAATTACGTCTTGTAGAGTTTCTTAGCACAAGTAGGCTGGACCTGATGTATCATCCACCCTTCAAGTCCAGTGGGCTCTCGTGTGAAGAGTCGTGTTAGAGATATATAAAACCATTAAAATAACTTCGCCCAACAACTTAAGCTTTTGGTTTAAATTGGTTCTTTACATAATATATTACTAACCTTCTTAGGGAGACATGAAACAATGCATGTAAACCAGCCAATACTCCAATTGATCCAAATTTGAAGATAGGCCTTGCCAATACCCACTAATTGTTTATATAGATCATCATAATTTTCCTCTAAATCCACCTGACTTTTGTCACTATCCTCATTAAAATGCTTGTTAAAGTTGTTCATCTGCTTTTCTTTGACTTTTGTATTTCTTACCAAAAGGTTTTTATTTTCGTCCTTGATGCATCCAACTTAGGTCAAGTATTTAACTTTTAATATCACTCATCTTTGTAAGTCTATAGATACCTTTTTCACTTTCTTTAATCGCAAGGTTTGTGCAAATCTGAGAAAACTTTGCTTTTAGCCTCTCGCACTGTTTTCTTACCATTTTTTCTAGCCAATCTAAAATTTTGCTAGTTCTCCTCACTAGGACATTTAAGCAAATATCTAAAACAGTTCTTCTTTTTAAAACTCTAATGCACCTCTTCATTCCACCCATAGTAGTTAATTGCGTCGCAATAGTGTCGCGAGCCGCGCCGTATGGGCGTTGCGGTGCCTCGCCTCAAGAAACCGCGTCGCGCCGCACCGGAATGCAATAGCGGCCATTGCGATTGTATTTGCAGCCATATTGTTGTCGTAAGGCAAAATGTCAATTTTGTCCTAAATTTAAATGTGTAACAGACAAAATTTAAGGGTTTTTAGTCTATCCGCGTCTCTCTTTGTCACTTTTGCTATCTCTGCCTTTAAAAAATGTTTCATTTTGTCATTATTTCTGTCATATATCTATTCTGTTATTTTCGCAATCGCAACCCGCTATAATGCTATTTTGTTTTTCGGGGTTGGCCGCAACATGCCGCAATCCGCATTTGATAACTATGATTCCACCACCAAGTTTCTTTTATTTGAAATCTTTTCCCTTTACTTTCTCCCAAGACTTTCTTTCCCACTTTTTGGATACAATTAGTCATCTTGTTCCTCATTTCTTTTGTTTTTCCATCTAACTGCCATGATTTTTCTTGAAGCATTCTTTCCTTCAACTATGTTTGTTTATCCTCCTTTAGCTTCCATCATCTTATTCGTGGGTTCTCAGCATTCTTATGCATTTTTTGTACTTTGTTTAACCTAATCTCTAAAACCACCAACTTATGTTACGTAGTTACATATTTTCCAGGGTAAACGTTACGGTCTACACTTGAGGTTTTATCTTTTCTTCTAGCCAGAACGAAATCAATCTGGCTATAATTTTGGTTGTTGTGATAAATGATTAAATATTACTCTTTTTTATAAAAAAATGTTTTCACTAGCATCAAATCATAAGCTAGTGCAAGGTTCAGGATATCTTCTCCAGCATTATTTCTAGTTCCGTAACCAATATCTCCACTACTCTGTTCAACATGCCCATTTAGATATACTCCTATAAAAATATTGCCCTTGCATGGTATGACTTGTAAAACTCCCTCCAAATCTTCCCAAATTTGGTTCTTATTGGATACTTGTAGTGCAACTTGGGGGGCATACACTCAAGATATTGAAAGTTAAATCACCTACTAAAAGCTTAACCAAAACAATCCCGCCACATTTTCTTCTGACATTAGCAACCCTATCTCCTAAACTTTTATCGATCATAATCCCCATCCCATTTTTACTCGTCTATACTTGTGTACCACAATATAAAACTGGTTCTTTCCACTTCCTTAGCCTTTATCCAAACCACTTAGTTTCTTGCAAACAAGCAATATTCACTCTCTTAGCAAAAGCATTTGCTAACTCCCTCAACTTACCCGTTACGGTTCCTACGTTCCAGCTTCCCAATCGCATCTCTATCCCTTGGGCATTTCTTGTTCGTCACCCTCAACCATAAATGTGTTGGGACCCAGGCATATTTGTCACCAAATCCATGTGAAGATGTGGCGCCTTGTCTTAGAGTAAGGACCCTAGCCCATTTTTCACTACACCCGAGGTCCAATGCAAAGTGTGGCTAAGAAAGGTATACTCCAATGAAAAATCATGAGGGATCATCTTATATAGGTTGTTGTTTTCTTTTATGACCAACTCGTTACGCCTGATGCCATCCCTCCTCCTTTATCTTAGCTTGGGACAAGCTATACATGCATGCATACATACATACATAAACGGAGTTAATAAGAATAAACAGTAATTAAATTTAAAAAAACACAGCATACTTGAAAGATAACTGCATTGTTTCCTACAAAACAAATACATAGGAGCTTATTTATTTTGCTTTTGATATGGTCATGAAGTTGACGTCTAGTGGGAGAGTATCTTTCATTGAACTAGTGTTTGGATTAGGATTAATTTAGTTTGTGATTTTTGGAAAAACTCATCAATATTTTGAGTACTACCTTCTTTTAGTCTTGCGTTTGAATAAAAGTTTCATTCATCGATCACTTTTTTGCAATTTTTTATACTTTTTCTTTTACCCGTGGTTTGCAGGTGCATCATGGAGGTGCAGGAACGACAGCTGCTGGGCTGAAAGCTGCTGTAAGAAGTTTGCAGTTTTTTTTTCCTCTAATTTAAATTTGTAGCTTTTGAATCCTTAATAATTATTATATCATCTGGTTCTGCTTTTAATGATTGGTATTTTTTGTTGTAGTGCCCAACGACCGTAGTTCCATTTTTTGGTGATCAACCATTTTGGGGTGAGAGAATACATGCTAGAGGAGTTGGTCCCCCACCTATCCCTGTTGATGAGTTTACGCTTCCCAAGTTGGTTTATGCAATAAATTTTATGCTAGATCCCAAGGTAAATATAATTTTCCTGATATATTTATAATTTATATAAAAGCCAGGAGAGAGGAGCTTACTTCTTTCAGAAGTAAATAATGAGGCTAGATTCTTTGTGTAGTCAATATGGATCTGCAAATCGTCACTGCATCTTATTAAATATGTTGAATGTTCCTGCTAAAGCTAAGCTTATGAGTAACATACACAACTATGTTATCTTACTTAAACTTGAGTAATTTCTCCACCCTAAATACATGTTTGACAGGGTTTAACGGACTGTTTTACTATGTTCTTTTGGTCATAATGAACAACATACAAGCTGGGGTTTGAACCTACATTTCCAGCTTTGGTGGGGACTCACACGGCACTGAACCAAAGATCAAGTGGTGACACTTGAACCTGTTACCTTACAACTTACATGTGTGGTTAATAATAACTCCAAAACCTTGTACTGACAGCAAATGGATCATGGTTTCCTAATGTCCTGGTTTTGTGCAATGTGCTAACCATGTTCAAGAGTAAGGGAACTTAGATCTTGATGAAGAAAACTATTATTTTAGTAGTTGATATTATATTCACTAGACTCATAGTTTTATGCATAGATAAAAAATAGGGAGGGCGGATCGGACTGGAAAACAGGTGAAGTGGCTGGTATCTGATTAATTCAGCCCGCAAAACAGTATGAGCTAAGAACGGTGAAAAACTGGTCCATAAACAGTGAACTGATTTGATCCTATTAGAATATATGAAAAATATGTCATGATATCTTGAGTATATGTTAGTATAGTTTTGAAGATCTTAGATGGATTTTCTTATTTAATTAGGTTTTGGATTCTAATTTATTATAAATAGGAATTAGTGCTTTGTAGTTTGCGTTACATTATAACACATGAAATCAATACCCATTTCAGATTATTTAGTCTTTTTTATCCTTTTCTTTCTTCCCTATCTAATTCTGTCTCATCAAGACTCCGCTGTTGTGTTTCCTAAAATCAGAAACTCAATTGGAACGATGTCATTACCTCCATGATTTTTCTCAGCAATCGTACACAAATTTGTTCATTCATTGGTTGCCGGCGCCACCGGGCAGCAGCTAACCGTGGCGGAAAATCAAAGGAAATCGATGGATATTTAATAAAGGAAAACCAAAGGGCAGTTGGTTGAAAACTTAGGGATGACAAATATACAAAATTGTCTTAGTTTTGTCCTTGCTTGGTCATTAAACAGAGTATGTACCAGAGTTGTTTGAGACTGAGGTGCTTACCTACATTCCCAAGGAGTGTTGACCTAATGTAGGCACTTGCTGTTGTCACTTTACTTTTCTGTCTCCTTTAAAATCACTTCGAATGGCAGAGAGACACCAGGGAAAACATGGGTTGTTATATGTAAGGTTTCATGAGCTGCCAGAGAGACTCTAGGAGTTTTAGTTAATATGCTTTCATGGACATGTTGAAGGTGCAATATATTGGACCATTATGAGTTTCTGACATTCAGTTTCATGCTCAACTTATTTTCTGGTTTATATTTGTTGGATGGGCTGATGGGGAGATGGGTTATATCATATTATGTATATTGACTGTACCTATTAAAAGATAGTCAGCCCCCTGACGAGGTAAACTCCGCGTTAAATTTTTGAAGTGTAGTGAAAAGCAATCCAATTTTTGTGGAATTCTTTTGGGTGTGTTCTATTTAAAATAACCATTACATTTAATTGCTTAAATACAATTCCAGGTAAAGGAGCGTGCAATTGAACTTGCCAAGGCCATGGAAAATGAGGATGGAGTGACAGGAGCTGTGAAAGCATTTTTAAAGCAGCTTCCTCAAAAGAAAACAGAACCTGATTCAGAGCCGCTGCCGTCTAGCATTTTCTCTATAAGTAGATGCTTTGGTTGTTCGTGATTCAATGCAAGTAGGTCAAACCTCACCTTTTGTCAATCTATTGTGTAAATCACGAAATTGTTACTGCGTCTATGAGATGCGCTCGACTTAACCCTGTCCATGTGGTTACATATTTCCGTGGATCATACTATTCAGCTTCAATATGTATGTAAGTTCTGTTTGTATTTAATTCATATTCATTAAGATCAAGTGAGGCTAATGGCTTTTTGTTCTTTACTTTTGTTTTTCACTACAGTATATCCGTTTGTGACCATGACCCGATATTTTTTCTCATTTTTGTCCAAATTCTTCTCTATTGTATAAAATTAACTGTACGCTATATGAAATAGCATTATTTACAATTGTGTGGCAGGTATCATTTGTCTATAGTTCAGTTGCCCAGAAAAATTAAGGGTGTACAACTAAAGTGTTATATCACAACTCAATTAGCTTTTATTATACTTGTTTTTATTATTTGTCGTCAGTTTTTTATTTTTTATTTTTTATTTTTTATTTTTTTTGGTGTTACTCTATTCGTAAAGTAGTTGTGTCTGACATTTGCAGTTTATTTACTGGTCAAGTACATAATACACATCCACATCTCTTCTATCAAGAGGAGCATGGCATGATTATTTATATGATTTATGAAAATAAAAATTACAAAATAATACCGGAATTATTTGGGCCATTAAAAAAGTTCTAATGGGATATTGTTTTCCAATGGTTAACTAAGGATTATGCGAAAATTATGAATTTTTTTAGTACCATGCTAGTTTTCAATTTTCCCTACCCTACTGTGTTTTTCCTGAGGATAAATATTTTTACTTGTGTGGTGTTGTTTCTAAGGGAAATATAAAATGTGTATTATTTTGTTCACTATAATTATGAAAATTAGAGAGAGAGAAGAAGGGGGGGTGTTGTTTACTTAAGGTTATCATTAGTCTTTAAGATACTTTACTTAAGTTTTGTTGTTTTACATTATTTCAGGTGGATAATTGAGAGATTTTTGTGAACATTATGCTACTTCCATTGTCATTTGGGTGGAACAGTATTAAGTGCGTGTATAATAAATGCTTTTTTGGTAAAAGAATATTGTTTTTTTTTACTTTTTAAGAACCTTTTGATTAAAAACTTGTTTAACTTTAAAACATTCTATTTAAAACACACTAATCATAAAGCTTAAATTATATTGCTTATACAAATATTTTCCACATTTAACATCTAGGATTGTGGAAGTATGATTCTTAAGGATAATGCAATGAAAATTTGCAATAAAATTAAAATGTTATCAATGGTGTAGATTATTGACATTTACTAATAACTCTTAGGTAGTGTTTGTTTCAGAAGTTTTGTAGATATTTCTAGGAAAGTGATTCTGACTTTATCATTTTTTCGTGTTTGGTTCACGGTATCATGATTTTTGCCCATCAGTATTAGATGCATAGCTATCTCAAATTGCACTTAAGAAAGGAAGAAAAGACTCTTCAAGAATCCAACAAATCAGGTAGGATTGCATCTAAAAATCAGATAAGTTAACACGGTACAAAACAGTGACACTACTATCCCTTAATGCAGTGGGACAATTGGTTGTATAATTTTGTAAAGGATAATTTTGTAATTTCAATAAGTTTTCCCATCAATATTTTATATTCAACCAAACACACATTCAAGAATTTCACTCAATTTTTCTAGTAAAATTTTGCCCAACCAAACAACTTTTTAAAATTTTCCTATCTAACTCACTTTCCCTGCAAATCCCTAGTATTTACATTTCCCTAATATTACAAAATTTCTCCTCAACCAAATACTACCTTAGGTGCTGTTTAAGAGGATAAAAAATATTTAAAAAAGTAAAATATTGTCTATGTTTCAAGATAACGGTCGTCTAAAACTTTTGTAAAATTATTAAAAAAATAAATACACTTTTGTAAAAGAACCAAGAAAGTCATTAAATATCTCTTATTTTAAAAAATTAGAATATTTTTTTAAAATTTTTGTCTCACTCCGTTAATGCTCTGTATTTTCCATTTTTTTTTGTGTGTTGGTAAACATCTGTATTTCCCACTTAATAAGACAATAACAAGTAAAGAAGAAGTTCATAAAAAATAATTATTGTCTTTAGTTTTTTAAAGTGATAGATTAAATGAAAAAATATTTCTTCTCTAAAATGAGTGACACTTTGGAAGATAGAGAGTATTAAACATATTGAAAACTTAAAAACTCTAGAATAATTATTTCTAAAGTGAGTTTTGTTTATATATATATATATATATATATATATATATATATATATATATATATAACAGGTTATATTTACAAACTTTTTTGTTTACAAACTACACTATCTTCTCCCGGGAGAACACTGGTTACACTATGTTCTCCCGGGAGCACATAGTGTAATTTGTAAAAAATTTCAAAAAAAGTTTGTAAACGGAAACTTTCCTATATATATATGTGTGTGTGTGAGAAATATTATACTTACAATTTATTTTCATTTACAACCTTATAATCATATTTTAATCGACGATTTTCGTCAATCAACGGTTATTATTTTTGTAAATCAAACTCATTAACTAATTATTAATTCACAATAAATGATAATTATTGATTGACGTAAGTCAACTGTTAAGATATGGTTGTAAGAGGAGAGAAAAAATTAAAGGTGGGGCCCACCATTCTTTTTTGTGTGTAAAAAATTTGTTTCTCTTATGCAACATAAGAGAAATATAACCCTATATATGTATATTTGGTGACAAAGGAGTGCTAAGCGCAAAGCAAAAGAAAATAGAGAACATCAAAGCAAAAAGAAACAAGACCAAGACGAAATCATCTCAAAGTAAAATCTCTAAGTCTGGAGACCCCTGCTACATCAACATGCAAGAGCAAAGCAAGAGCTGCAGGCAGTCTGATGAATTCCCAAAAATTATCCAACTCTGAGTGATCCAAGAGGTAATTAGCCTACCAGGCCGCACAGTAGTTTGCTTCCTGGAAGGCATGCACCAGACGAATCTTCCAGTCACGCTCCAACCATTCATGTACCCAAGTCAACAAATGCGACTCACAGGCATAATCATTAGGCTTGGTGAGCAAGGAAATAATCGTTACCGCATCATATTCAATAATCAGTCTTTTCCACCACATGTTCCAGGCAAATTCCAAAACTCTTAACCCCCCTCCAGTTCTACTTGTATCACTGAACACTATCCTATTCTGTAGGAGAAACCACCTTGCTAACTTCCTTACGAGTCCCGCAAGATCACCACAAGCTACAGTAACTGGATTTCCTCTCGTAGCACCATCTTTATTAAGTTTCACCACATCAACTCCCGGTGGCTGCCAACAGATTGCCCTGCTCAAGACTCTTCCCCTCACAATCCTTCGATTAACCAATTGTAAAGTATCACGTATCTTCATAACCTTGCCTCTTACCGTCTGTGCAGAATTGAAATTCAGCATTGTCCTACTATTATGAATCATATCATTCCTGCAACCCCAGATCATTCAGCAGGTGATCATAAAGGTAGAATACCTTGGAATGTCCCTACCAACTAATTGCTGGCAATGCATATTCATAACTAGCCAATCTTCCAAAGAAGCGGAGAAGAAGTCCGCCCCCCATGCAGAGGGCCAAAGATCTTTCCAGACTTGTTGGCCAAGAGAGAAGTCACGCAAAGCATGCAACAACTTTTCATTCTCAATCCCACAAATAGGACAAAGTGGACTACCTTCATCCCACTCCACAGTTATTGCCTTCGTCGGAAGATCATGCACCACCTTCCACATGAATAATTTGATTCTTTGTGACCCCTTCCACTTCCAAAGTAACTTCCAAATTTTCTCCTTCACCTTCAAAGATGCAATCTCCTTGTTCGCTGTAAAAGATTGATACAGAGCTTTAACCAAAACTTGAGAACCACCTTCTAATAGCCATAATTTCCTATCCAATACATCACCTGTTTTTGGAGGAAGTATGCTCTAGATGCACTAGATAACCTCTTCAGGAAGAACATCTCTCAACAAACCCAATTTCCAATTGCCATTTCCATCAACAAACCTATCTAGTTTGTCATCAAACGTATCTATAGGAATAGAGCAAAAAGTAAGCTGAATAAGAGGTGGTAATCCTCCTACCTAACTGTCCAACTAAAAGAAAACATATCTCCCATCTCCTATTTCCCACACTAACTTGTCCACCAATTCACGCCACACCTTACATAAAGCTGCCCAAAGCCTTGAGCAACCTGCCTTTACCGGCAAAGGCTTATTATCACTAACCAACCCACCATACTTACCCCTTAGCACTTGAGCCCAAAGACTTTTCTTGTCATTCTCTAGTCTTCATTTCGCTTTTGCCATGAAAGTATAATTCATCTCCACCAGTTTTTTGATTCCAGTCCTCCGTTTTCTTCAGGGAGTGTCGTGTATTCCAGCCAGTGGCATGCTACTGCCATTGCCCCTCTTTGTCACCCTAAATGAACTTTCGTTGAATCTGCTCGATTTCTGCACAAACTGTGAGTGGAATTCGATCATGCTGCAAATAGAAGAAAGGAATAAATGAAATAACATATTGTGCAAGAGTGATACGACCAGCTTGTGAGAGGCACTGCTCTTGAAAACCAGAAAGCTTATCTCGGATTCTATCAATAATGTATTATTCTGCTTTGTTGCACGACCATGAATAATTCAAGCACCTAGATAGCGCCCCACATTTCAAACTAGTAGAAATTTAGTATCACATGTAAAAGAGAAATATCAAGGAGTTATTATCACATAATATGAGGATCCTCAAGAAATTAAAGATCCACCATCTAACCCATTCCGGGATCTACATATAAATACACAAGATCTAGTGCAGTATATTCGTGGTGGGAGAGAATCTTGTTAACCGTCAAGTTATCTCTTGTTGAGTGACATTGATCCCACTAGTTACGATAATGCACTAGAAGATGTTGTTGATCAAGTGTTCCTCAAAGCTATGAACCATAAAATGGGATACTTATATTTCAACTATGTTCGGTCCCTAGTAAAGGCATCAAGGGGTGTAAGACCCACTAGGTGTATATGGATCTACAAGGCAAAGAGAGGATAGACAGGAAGGTGAAAACTTCAAAACTAGTTTGGAGGAAAAATTTTGCTAGACGTCATGCTTGAGTCTATCCAGATTCTCCTAGGTGCTGCCACAAGTCTCAATCATGATATTTTATTTTGGGAGATGGATGTCATATTAACCTTTTTGAATGAAAATTTAGAAAAGAATATCTACTTGCAACAACCAAAAAGGTTTATAGCTAATGTGCAGGAACACACACTATGCAAGTTATGAAAGTCCATTCTATGGACTTAAACAAG